ACGACTCTCTCGCGGGGGGGGGGCTCCAGGGACGGGCCCGAGGAAGGAGCAGCAGCAGGGAGGAGGGAGCAGGCAGGGAGGAGAGAGAATAGGGGAAAGAGGAGGAGAAGGAGGAGGAGGAGGAGGCAGGAGGAAAGCGGAGGACTTCCAGGAGCCAGCACAGATTGCACGAGCCTCCGCTTTCGGTCAGGGCGTGCGCACTCGCGAATCGTGCGGTAATGATGGGAAGAGGAGGAGGAGGAGGAGGAGGAGGAGGAGGAGGCGAAGAGAGGAGGAGGAGGAGGAGGAGGAGGAGGAGGAGGAGGAGGAGGAGGAGGAGGAGGAGGAGAGAGGAGGAGGAGGAGGGAGGAGGAGGAGGAGGAGGAGGAGGAGGAGGAGGGAGGAGGGAGGAGGAGGAGGGAGGAGGAGGAGGAGAAAGGAGGAGGCTCCTGCCTGTGATTTGCACGGCTGGTCTGCTGCTGACAGGGAGGATGTGTGCTTGCCCTTCCTCGTAGGCAAGGGAAGCCTTGAGAGGTGGGCGGACATCCGAAGAAGAGTGCGAGTGCCGAGGAACTTGAGGAGCCAAAATCGCTATCCAGAGCGAGGAAGGGATCGAGAAGATCGGGAGAGAAGCAGGAGTGGCATCAACACCATCAGGGGCGAGACTGCTCTCCTCAGCCGTACCCAGACCCGAGTACCCATGGCCCGAAGCAGGGGTGGAATACTCATCCCAAGGAACGCCCGCACATCCTCCAGGGGAGCCTGATAGTTGATTGCGACACGCGCCACCGTGGCTACTAGGTGCAGTGACGAAGGGAGGAGGTGGCGGAGGGAGGAGGGAGGAGGAGGGAGAAGGGAGAAGGGAGGAGGGAGGAGGATGATGATGATGATGAGGAGGAGGAGGAGGAGGAGGGAGGAGGAGGAGGAGGACGAGGATGAGGAGGAGGGAGGAGAAGCAGGAGAGATGAGGGAGGTGGGAAGAGGAGAGAGGAAGAAAAAAGAGTGAGGGAGGGAGGCGAGTATGAGGGGGAGGAGAGAGGGAGGATGAGAACGACGAAGAGCACCGCCACCACTTCGAGAAGGGGCAAATGGGGGGAAGGGAGGGGGGAGGGGGCGAGGACAAGCTGGATGAGCTCGCGTCATATCTGACATGTATCTGCCGACGGATGCCGTAGCGGATCTGGAACTCCAGAATTAACCCCAGCGTGCTACTGGTAAGCCGAAAAGGGAGCTGTGTATGCTGGAGGTGGGCAGGTGGCGGAGGAGCAGGAAGACAAGCGGGAGGATGAGCAGTAGGAAGAGGAGGAGGAACGAGGAGGAGGAACGAGGAGGAGGAACGCCTGAATAGCAGGAGGACGATGTGGAAGGCGGAGGCGGGGTAAGGAAAAGTGACAATGATTACGACAGACCTGGACTCTGAAATGTAATCAACTTTGGGGCGAGAGCACCATAATGGGTGGAGTCCACCTCCCGGGTTAATTTAGACGGCGTGCTGAACTAGCGTTGGTAACGAATCGCTCCTGATCTTGGTCCTGATCCTGCTGCTGCTGATGATGATCGTCCTCCTCCGCCTCCTTGACCTCGTCGTCCTCCGAGTCCTCCGAAGACAAGTGCGGTTCATTACCCGAACAAGCTCAGAGGTGGCTCTGAACTGGCGCAGCAACTAAAGTGTTCCTGATGTTGGTCCTGATCCTGCTGATACTACTCGACCTCATCCCAGCCAAAAAAAAACGTGAGCAAGAGAGAGGGAGAGAGCACAATTCCTGGCTCACCCAAGATCGGTGTTGAAAAGATGCAGGTATCGGACGTCCGACCAAGGGCAACAATGCTGGAGCACGTATGTGGACATACTGAATTTGAGCTTTCCAAGCTGAGGTGACCCCGTAAAGCCTTTGAAACGTACAAAGGCATTTGAACTTGGTGTTAACAACGTCCGCCGGCCCGCACGACGTAAGCTTATGCTTAGGATGTGTCGGGCGAAACGCGGGATGCGTAACAACCATGTTAAGACCAATGTGCTGCTCACTGATGCTGCTTTGGGGGCCGTCTTCGGGGTCCTCCAAGAAAGCCCCAAGAAGACATCGACAACTACAGATGCCACCACCTAACTTTTCTAGGATGTCTCAGGCGAGAGCCTCATCTGTTGAAACTATGAAGGGTTCGCGAGCGCACTCAGCCTCTCCATGCTCTGAGGATTTCTGCAGCTAGAAGTTTACGCGAGCGAGCTCCACATGCCCATGTTCCAGGGATGTCTGCATCCAGAGCACCACGTTTGAGAAACAGGCGTTGCACAAGAAATGCTCTCAAACCTCTCCATGCTGTTGGGATAAATCACGCGCAGCGCCCATGTTAAGGAACTTGTGTGGCACGAGCGGGAAGCGCGCGAAACCGATGCGATGCGCACGGGCTCTCGACGACACGAGCACGAACTGCAGCGCCATCGTCGAGAGGCAGCAGCTGATAGTGGGTAGAGCCCCCGGCCCACGGCCCGCGCCAGTTCGGATGGCACGGTGAATGAGCGCATAAGCAGCGAACCTCTCCTGATGTTGGTCCTGGTCCTGCTGCTGCTGCTCATGACCGTCCTCCTCCCGGGCCCATTTAGACGGCGTGCTGAACTAGCGTTGGTAACGAACCGCTCCTGATATTGGTCCTGATCCTGCTGCTGCTGCTCGCGATCGTCCTCCTCCGCCTCCTCGCCCTCGTCGTCCTCCGAGGACTCCGAAACCAGGTGGGGATCACCACCCGCACCAGCAGAGGCGCGGCGCTGACCATAGACGTGGGAGGCAACCTGGGCCTGGAGACTGCCTTTTCCGGATCGGCGACAACCTGGGTTATCCGAGGGGACGGAGAGGCCGGCCAACATCCTAGCCTTCGCGCTGTAGGGTAGCCCCACATATGCCATATGCCCGCGCGCACCAGTACTGCGGCCCCTACAGCTGCTAACGATGCTGCGACGATGCTGCGACGATGCTACGATTCGTGCTGCGACGATGCGGGCGCCGTCTGGGAATGCCGAAGGATATGTCTGGACCTGCTCAACCGACAGGGTGAGGCAATCTGGGGCTAGGGGGACCCCCGCTTGCCGGGGGTGCAAAGGCGTGTGATTTGTTTTCAGTATATGCAAATGTCCACCAGGTCCTTTTCGTGGGAAAAAAAGCAGTCCACCCGCCATCCAGGCAGGGGCCTCTGAGAATCAAAACTTTCCAGCACGCTCCTGAACGCTTCGATGCATTCATCCTTCGGGAAGCTCGTGGATATGATTATGTGAGCTGAGAGCTGCGCGTGAGTCGCAGCAGCGAAAGAGGACAGTGATATCCACCAAAACCTCTCGGTGGGGGGAGAAAAACCCGCCCACCTTTCCAACTCCCCAACACCGTGCTGACAGCGCTGACATCGCGAAGAGCATTCGCCACGGATCGTCCGGCCAGACTGGCTGGCTGCTTGGTGTACCTGCACGGTTTCCCCCGGGGCCGTAGGCGACCCGTGGAGAGGAAGGCGAGGAGGGGAAAGAGGAGCAGGAGGAGGAGGAGAAGGAGGAAGAGGAGTAGGAGGAGGAAGAGGAGTAGGAGGAGGAGGAGGAGGAGGAGGAGGAGGAGGAGGAGGAGGGGGAAGTGAGGGAGGAGGAGGGGGAGGGGGAGGAAGACAAGCTAGGTGCGCTCGCGTCATATCTGACATCCTACCCCTCCCTCCAATCCCTCACCATGGCGTAGATCCCCTCTCTACTCGCACAGTCGGATGTCGAGCAGGGCAATGATCCCGAAAGCGTACGCGATGCATTGTAGAGCACGGCATGGCATGGCGTAGAAGAACACCGCAAAGCGTAGTATGTCACAGCATGGCGTGGCGTGGCGTAGTGACGAATTACATCACAAAGCTTTGCAACGCAAAGCATGGCATCGCACAGCGGCCCCGAACATAACATTGCATAGCATGGCGTTGAAGATCAAAGCGTAGCATGGCATAGCACGACGTGGCACTTAAGGCACGACGCGTTGAATATCACAGCTTCAGCTGAAGGCATGACATCGCACAGCGGAACGCAACCTAGCATTGCATTGCATGCCGTGGCATGGCACGGGGAATGACGCCAGCGCTGCAGCGGGAGCACCATTCGGAACGAGCGGAAGCGCGGAAATGAGGCCAAGGCTGCAGCGGGAGCACGATTCGGAACGAGCGGAAGCACGGAAATGAGGCCAGCGCTGCAGCGGGAGCACGATTCGGAACGAACAGGGTCCGAAAATGAAGCCGGCGCCTCAGCGAGAGCAGCAGTTTGAAACAAATCCAAGCGAAAACCCAACTCCGGGGAATCCTGTGTGAAAAACAGAACGCGGGGGGGGGGGGGGGCCGAACACACCCAACCCGTCATCAGGGGAAGGAGGAGAGTAGTTTTCATATTGAGTAATTGTGGAGGAGGAGGAGGAGGAGAAGGAAGAGGAGGAGGAGGAGGAGGAGAAGGAGGAGGAGGAGGAGGAGAACGGGTCGCTTAAGCCCTTCGGAGAAACCTTCCAAACGTGCCCCTGTTCTCTTACGGCCCGTCCCCGTTCCAATGATACTCTCCCTAATTCCTCCTAGCCCTCTGCTGTCACCAGATTCGGGAAAATCGTGGAAAAGATTATGTGAACTGAGAGCTGCGCGTGAGTCGCAACAGCGAAATGGCCGGGCCGATGTACACGCTCACATATACCAGGCTCGCTTCGAGCGAACCTCTACAAAGGCGGCAGTCTGGTGAAACCCACCAGAATCTTTCGGTGGGAAAAATCGGTCTGGAGGGTCCCGACACTGCCGACACACTGCCCGACAAGGCAAAACGAAACGCGCCGAGCGCGAAGAAGTACAGCGGGTGGGCAACGACTTTTCGGAAATGCACCAATGCTTGGGTTTACTCCACGATGGACCATCATCTCTACCACAATGCACCCACGTCGTGGTATTGGCGCGAGCCGCACGGCGATATACTATACCGCGCGGACAGAACGAACACGCGGCGCTCACGGCAGGCGCACGCCAGTCGACGTTTAGCAACGATGCGTGTTCATCAATAGGTCCTGTCTCTACGCGCGCGATGCGTGTAGTCGAAGTTGCATGCATGTTTCCTTCGCGACATGTGCCGGAGATTGGTGCGATGCGCGTTTCCTGTGTTATGGTCTTATTGGTGTCTGTTTGCGTTCTGTCCATTTTGTTTCTGATCGGCTTCGGAAGCCCCGATATGGCTCCAAGATCGCACAAGAAGGTCCCAAAAGGCCCCCAGGACGGCGCCAAGACGGCCCCAAGATCGCCCAGGAGCGCCTCACGAGCGCCCCAAGAGGGCCCCGGGAGGCTATGTTCAGTTTCCGGCGGGGGCGTCGACATCAAGAACACCCACACTCCCTTTATCGATGGTTTCCAAGGTGCCCCTTGGAGACCCTCGAAACTTCCCAGAAAGGCCCCAAGAGAGCCCCAAGAGCGCCCCGAGAGAACTCCGAAGGCTTTCATGATTATCCCAAGACGGTTTCAGGAGCTCCCCGAAGTCTAGCTTCATCCTGTGTCGCCTCCCTGCATTCATGTATGCCCACCTTCGCCCCACCTCTAGATCACTCCCCTGGGTATCGCTTCTGGACTACATCATTCGTTCCTCTTTCTCCTGCTCCTCCTCCACCTCCACCTCCGCCTCGCATGTGGTTTTCTCATGGACTACATGCTCTTATACATCCCTGATCAGGGCAACTCCCGCGGGGATCGTTTCTGAATGGGCCGGTGGGGACACTTTGGTTCGCGACCGTAACGAAAAATCGGTCGGCGTCAAGTCAACGCGCGGCTAACGAGCAGCGGACTAACTTAGGCACTAAGCGCGCAGGAGCGAGCTACGCTGCGGCTCAGCTGGCGAGGCCGACGCTGCAGTACAGGGAGGACAAACCGAAGCCGACGAAGACCAAGGTGGTGGCCTCGATGCATACCCATGACCACGTCCAGGCGGCGGGTGGGGATACGGGAAGCGTCCAGAACTCGGAGCCCATGCAAAGGCCATGCTCGCCAGCACGCACGGCGCTCCTCACGAGCCTGGCGCGCCGCGCCCTGACCGAAACCTCAGGAGGGGGGCGAAATGGCGGGGGAGGGGCCCCTTTCGAGGAGGAGGAGGAGGAGGAGAAGGAGGAGGAGGAGGAGGAGAAGGAGAAGAAGAAGAAGAAGAAGCACGCCGAGGCGGACCAGTCTCGTGACTAACGACTCGGCCCAGCAGGGCGGCGCTCATAGGGCTCAATCTAGCCCATTACCGCTTGCGCCACCTGCTGGGCCCTCCTGTGATCGAGCCAGCTCCCGCTGGCGCACTCTCTCCTGGAGTGCCGCCAGCCGTGATTCGTACTGATACGAGGAGGCTGGGTTGGGCCTCGCAGAGACACTGGTCGTCTCTCTCCGAGGGACGCGACGTGTGGGCGCCACCCGGTCGGCAGGGATCACAGAATCGATTGAACGCTGGAGCTTACGATGGGGGCCGACGCCCCGCCTCAGGTTCCGAAGAATTTCAAGACCCTTGGGCGTCGGCCTGATGCAAGGGGACCTCAACTTAAGACGGCGCCTCTGTTGGGCCCACGCTCCACATTTCGTACAAACAAAAACAGGTCGGTCCACGCTATCCGAGACCGACTCGCACCGTTCGCCAGACTGGTGCTGCACGGCAACAAGACAGTGGCCGTTCGGCCGGGCGAAAAACGCACGGAGGAAAGCTGGGGTCCCCCTGCAGCCCACTAAGGGCCAATCGACAGCATTGTCATGCAGAACAGAGAGGCAATACTTACACTGAACTCCTAACTCCGTCCTACACCAATCATGATGTCCCTCAGTCCTCACGTTTCTACTCCTCTTGAATATCGGTGCCCTCCCCCACCTCTCCTCCTTCTCGTAGCAGGGCAAGGTGGCGGATATTAGACGCACGAGGTACCTCGTCGCCTCCCCGTGCAGCTCAATCTGCTTACAGAATTCATGATGAGGAGCGGGGTGAAGAGAAACAGCCACCTTCGCGAATCTGTCAGCAGCGACGTTCGCATATGTTATTCTCCTCTGTTCGACATTCAGCATAGCATATTGTTCGCTCGTGCGATGTGCTCTCACATGTTCTGCTGCTGTCAGATATTCACGAACAGGAAGGCTCTGACCAAAGACCTGAACACATGCATAAATGGAACGTGATTCTCTCTGACGCTGAGGAGACTTCCGCGCCTCGAAGACTGCGCCAAGGAAATCAAAATACATGGTTGCAGGCCGATCTGCTACTTGGCCGCAGAACGCCAGTCCCATATACTCAGCAACAACTGATGTTTGGGGCAAAGCGGGAGGAACAGCCCCATAAACTGCAAGAAGCGGATCTGGGCCAGACGGGTTCAACAATGCTATTGTCCACCCAGCCCTCTGTAAATCTCGAAGAGCAGGTTTGCTGCAAGAACCATCGGGAGCAAGTTCAATCACCTGCGCCTCTGGGCATACAGATTCCACCATCTCCTCAGGGTTCAAGTCCTGCACCTCGCCGGCTATATTCACAACGTATGCTTCATGACCAGGTGCCAACTTCGGAATCTCTTTGTCAAGATAGTCAAACGATCCATGCTCAAATAACTCCGAGTTCTGCTCATCAATACCGCGTTGGATGAATTCAGGTGGTACCTCAGCAGCACTTCTGGCAGCCACCACATCACCCCTCATACAAGTGAACAAACGATGATGCACCGTATCTGGAGCTCCGCAATCACAACGACCGTCCGTCTCGTAGCCCTTGCATCTCGCCCGCTCTCGTGTCCATATACCACCAAGCGCAAAGGATCTGACCAGGAACTTCTGGTACGAGGTGAATTTCGAATTCTTCTCTCTCACGAACGGTCGAAGAATATCATAACTTGATCGCGTGCCAGCTGGTAGCCCTCTCTTAGCGGCCAAGTCGAGCTCCAACTGTCTCTGTAATGACTCGATCATACGCTTCTCCAGAACACCTGGTGTAAATTGTTCCAATGGCACTTCAACTCCGCGATGGTCAAGCCAGACGCCCCACTGCGTGATTGTCCAACCAATCCTGCGAACACACAGAGCAGCTCGCTCAAGAGGCCCTCGCGAAGACGACCACTCAAGATCCTCAAGCGGGCGATCCTGCAAAGCTTGTGTCCACCACGTTCGGAGCTGATCCAAAGAAACTAATGCCGCATCTGGTGCCAGAACTGCTTGCCATATCATTCTAGACCACTGCAGAGCTGGAGCAAGTGCTTGACGCGCTGACGGGTCATCAAAAAGTACAGCCTTCGCACTCGCCGAAATCCCACCATGGCATGGTTTCAAGAATTGAAAGAACTGTCTACGTAAAGCACTCCATTCAGAATCTGAAAGGCCTGTAATTTCCACACCAAACGTCAAAGCTGGTCGAGCCCCTGTTCTGAAGATCTTACCTGTCCTCTCGTTCTTCTTGGTGGGAATCGCCTTTCGATACCGAGCAATTTTCTTCAAACGATGGTGAAACCGTCGACGTCGACTCTGTTGCTTCTTCCGCGTGGGTGCAGCTCGCCTCACTCTCCCACCAGCCTGATCTGTACCAAGATACGTAGCTGCTCGCTTGTTGGAAGAAGAATCAAACCCCAATTTGGCAGCAACTTTCTCACCGACGCCAGTTTCAGAACATACGATTGAGAGCTTGTTGTTGAACTTGGCCCCCAATCTTGAAGCTGTTACCTGGAAGCTGCGACCAACTCTCACAGCCATATCAATCAGCTCATCTGTAGTATTAGCTTCAATGCCCAGGCTGCTGTCGTCAATGTACGAAGAAAAATGCAACTCATTGTGCAATGCTACAAATCTGTCGTACTCCTCCAATGCGTGTACCTTGATCCCCACATCCGCGCATGCATCGCCCGCTGGAAAGCCTCGACGAGCGTGAACGGGTTGAAGACAATGGCGCCGCATTAATCGAATAATTCTTGGTGACGACCAAGTGTTGAATAACAATTTCGCCAAACAGGTGGGAGCTCCATATCGAGAAAATTTATCCCTCACCAAAACCAACTCAATAGTCTCGTAGTACTTGCTGTAGTCGGCGATGATCTGCAAGCTCTTCCTCTTATCGCGTACGCAAGCTTCGACGCGAGCGGCCACCTGCCACGCAGAATCGATAGCGGAGCGGCCTGACGAGGCCCCCCAATACACCCGGCGTAGAAACTGCTGAAGTGGTGCAAGCTCAGGTCGACGAAGCCTTTGCCATAGACGATATACCGATCCATATAGAACTATTAGCCGATGTCCCCCCATCGGCTTGGGAAGCATGGGCATGCAAATCCATAACATCTGCTTTGGTAGCATTCCCAAAGATTCGAAAGCCTCGAACAACATGCCGAGAATGTCGAGGCTCTCATCGCTCAGGAGCAGCAGGTGTCTAGGATGTAGCCCGTCCAGAGACCCTGCAGTAGAGTTAGAAAACGTTTGGGCAACGGCCCTAATGTCAGCAGCAGTCGCTCTCGGGAAAGAACTCCTGTCTGGTATCCAAGCTTTGGGCGCCTCAGAGCTAGCATCCCACAACAATCTATACTCACCTGCAGTTGTCTCGACAACAACGTGTGGATGTGCAGACGGAAGCCCATCAGCAGCTGTAACCACCGTCGTCTCGTTGGCCTGATTGTACTGCGTAATCTTGTGCAGAGCTCGCGCGCCTCCTGCTGCAGCTTCATCACACCAATTCTTCCATCGTTTTTTAGAATCTTTCCCAGCCGCCTGCTTCGCAAGCTCGACGTCTTCGTCAATCTCCTCAAGGACTTCAGCAATTTGTTCTGGAAAGAAACGACCTGCTACCAATCGCCTCGCCTGCGTCACACTCGCATCCAATCTCGAACATAAATGAACACCAGGATACGGCGACGTCTGAAACAACATCAACTCGCCATCAAGCATCGCCGCTTTCTCCTCATCGCCATTGCTGGAGGCCTGCTTCAACAGGCTAAGACCTTGAAGAGCATCCGAGAGCCACTTCCATCCATCCGCTTGTGCAGCAAGGCCTACCGCATCACTACCATTGTAAGTTATGTCGACCCACTTCGGCTTGATG